TATACACATATGGGGATGGGAGAGTTGGCAAATCTAGTCTGCACTCCTGCTTTCCTGAATTCACCCCCTCAATACTTAACCTAGAAGCTATTTAACAAATATCTCATCTGTGGTACAACACAAGAGATTGATGACGTCTTCCTGGGAAGTTTTGCTCATAAAACGTTTGTGAGGAAAACAAGCTCTGAAACCTGCAAGGGGGTTCTAGAATCCCTCTATAGTCCAGACATTTGGTGAATAGTGTAGCAAGTTCACACCATGTGTGTTCCATTTAAGCTGTTTCTTGTAGAGGCAGTCTAAAGCAGAGAGGTTTTGAATACGACTCTTCCCTTAATTGGTTAATGAGAGAAACACAAGGTTTCTCTTGAGGGAGAGTGGAAGGCCCATCTGGAGTCCTCAGGAGAAATCCAGTGTAAAGATGAGCCAGTTTACTACTTGACCAGTGTAAACAGGTTCATTATTACATTTATGTTAGAATATGTATATTGTAAGAGCAGGACCAGCAGACAGGAAGCAGGATTTCACTTTTTCAGGATTCTGTATTTATAAAGCAAAAAACCCCCTGTCTTTGCACCAAAGAGCTCACAGTTCTTTGCAGACCCCCTAACCCATGACTAACCCATCAGCCTTTCCACGTTTTAACCACTATTTCTGCTTTGACTGTCTCAGATTCTGCTTACAGTGGAGATCTCTGCTCCCTGAAGCCACAGAAACAGAACAACACAATTACAACTGAACTTACTCATTGAGCTCTGACCGCTTAAGGAACTCCTCAGGCTCTCCACTGAGCCACCAGCTTTCAGCTTGGGTTTGTCCAGGGAGTCAGTGTCTGGGGGTGGCGACTGCGGGGAGCCCGGCACGACCCCAGGGCTGGACTCCTGAAAGGGATTGGACCATTAAAGTTTGATAAATGAACATAGGCATTGACAGGAGCTGCTTGTCCACCTCCAAGGAAAAGATTCTGTTTTTCTGCTCTTTACCAAACAGGCTGAAAACTTCTATCTACTTATTTAGCAGTACCCAACTGTGGTAAGAAACTCTATTTTATTAGGCACGATAGTGGTGATGGGAGCAAACAGACCAGTCGGAAAAAGCTAGCTTTGTAAGTAGGGAAAAAAAACCTTACACAAAATTCCCAATTCAGGGGTTTTCATGACACGTTATATTTTCGCCAGCAGTACTTGCAAAACAACTAGTACTAAATTCATGTTTCTGAATCGGGATTTTGTACAAAAATGAACACAAACAAATCAATGCAAGTGAGACGTGAAGCAATGTTTTTGGGGTTTTTTTTCAGTGAATTTTTTATATCATTGCTCATTTACCTATAAGAACAAAAAACAGAATTAGCCAGAAAATGCAACCTGTGCATAGTAATGCAAATACTCATAAACATAAAAGCATAAATATAAAAAGATTTTGCTACGTGTGTGTCTTGATTGCTACAGTGTGCAATAGTTGAGACAATTTCTCTTTTCATTCCGTCAAACATTACAGAAAACCAAAAGGGTCTTTCCTGATCTGAAATTCTGTCAGCCTTTGTGAAACACAGTTAAAACAAAGCAGCAGATACTTGTGGCCAGCGTAAGTTTTGCTTGTTTTAATGCATGCAGAAAGAGATATTGGAACATACTTGAACTCATGATGCCTGAAAGTTATAACTATTCTACAACAACTGTGCCATAAAGTTTGAAAACAAAAGAACTGTAGCTTGTATACAAGAGTGTTTTGTGGAGATGTATGGCCGTAGAAGTTTTAGATGAACACTATTATTTGCATGCTATACAATCATTAGGAAAATCTCATCCCAGCCTATGACTTCAGAGGTAAAGTCAATCTCAGAGAGAGAGACAGAGAGCAGAAGTATTGATAAATCACTTTAAAGCAATTTTTCAAAGGACTCCTTTTTTCGGCACTTTGCAGATGTGCACTGTAAAGCCAGTCAGACACCAAACCATCTTCTTATAAATATTAAATCATGTTTAATTGTAAGTTTAAATTAAATAACCGTAAGTGTAGCACTGCCCCGGTTATGAATAATGATGGCTAATGAACAGTTCTGCAGCAAAGGGATTCTAATAGTCACACAGCATGGCATAACACTGGCCACATTTCTGCCTCTCTTGGTGCCTCTGGATGCTTCAGTTTGGAGCTGTTACTATGAGTGTTACAAATTGCTTCTTTCTCAGGCACTAAGGCTTTGCATTAAGAGCAAAACTTCCATTCCCAATTTCCCATGACTGAGAGCATCCCCCACGACCGGTCCGAGCCCACTTGGGGGCGGTGTTAACCAGGAAGAGCTCTGCTTTCCCAGCGGCTTTCCAATCTACTCCTTACACAATCCAAGTGGCAAACCCGGTTTTAAACACATGCCGAAGATTTTTGACACTCCACTAAAGGAAAAGGGAAAAAGACAGCAATTGTTTCTAGGCCACTGAAATTCAATGCCTAATTTAGAACTAATGTACTTCAGGTTTGCCTTTAAGAATAGACTATAAAAATCTGTAATGAAAGAATAATAGGAAAATCTTCTGACAGATGCCCCTTTCTGACTAGACTGTGCCTGTTTTAATGGGCTGCTGCACAGGGCAAGCTATGATGGAGAAAAGACCTGTAATAGCAGAGAAGAGCTGTATATGTGAAGTTATGCCAGGAATTTAAACTAGGGTGTAAATTGCAGATTAAATGTATTACTGTGACCCTGTGTCACAGACTGGTTCCCTTAATAAATTATGATAGAAAAGAAAAGGAAATAGAGAGTGAGGTGTGTAGCGCCATCAACGACAGACTTCTGATGAGCTACTTAAATAAAAATCCGAAAATGCATTTTCCATGGTGCTGGCATCTATAGGAAGCCATTTCACAGTGAGGGATTTTATAAGAACATAGGAATAAGTCACACCATATAATCTTATTAGAAATTTCTTCAGAGATGCCTTGAAGCATGGGAATCAGTATTGATTATCACTTCTACATTATTAAGTGGATTCCATTGCAGACCTTACATACCTGCTCAGACAAAGAGCTGCTGTATTTTTTCGACATTCTTTTCTTCATGGTTTCTTTTACAGACTTCACCTTTTTGCCCAGAGATATACGGGAGGCAGAGGGTGATTTGATCACTTCTTTATAAACAAAGTCTCCTTCTTTGCCCTGCAAAATAAAACAGGGCTTAAGCCTTTAAAATAGAAGAGCCATCTTTTCCCTCAGCCAGCCATTATTGCAGAGGTGTCCAGGCAGACACAGGACAGCAGCACAGTGTCCTGTTGCCTGTTCCAAATTCATGGTTGAGACCTTGTGCAAACCCCTGTAGCAGTCCACTATAGCTTACTCTTAAGGCCTGATTTATAAACTTTTTGTGAAAGTATTATGTGTAGACATGTTGGGGACTGTTAGGATGCCTTTATCCCTTTGAATTTCAGTAAGTATTTAATCTGATAGAAAACCCCACATTTCAGGCTAAGCCTTTCTAACACGACACACAACAGTAGTTGTGCTCATGTTGGTCAGTACTACAAAGAGTTTAAAAGGAGTAAAGGTACCTCTGAGATGCTAGCCAAATATATATCTCTGTGTGTGTATATATATATATATATATATATGTATCTACATTTGGCTACTCAAATTTACTTTTTATTTTCAGACAGGCATTCTACTAACCTCTGTGGCTTTACCACAGAACATAAAAAAAAGAAAAAAAAAATCAAAAAACAAACACCACAAAAAATGTACTAAATCCATCAACCATGGTAGGTTAAACTTGCACTGCTTTTTTTAAGGCATACAGCAGGGTACTGACCAACTAAATTAGCTGGTCCTTGTATAGTGGATGACAAAGACCAGCTGCTTTGAATTCATTTAGCCTTTTCTAAACCAGCTTAAGGTACCGAGCACTTACTCATGTCACAAGTACACACTCAACATGGATCAGCAAACTTGTATGATTCAGCTCTTATAAAGGACCAAAATCCATCTGGCCAAAGAGATTGACTACTAGTTTTGTCTCTGACTTGGTTATATTTAGCTACAAGATGGCAAACCCTAAAATAAATGTACACTATATTGTACAGTCGACATTTATCTTTTTTCTTCATTATGTATGTTTTCTACTGCATCAGTGTTCTGACAGAAAGTTTCTTTGAAATTCAACTGATACTTCATTTCTGACAATATGTTGTTTTTCCCCTTAAAAGTCGTTCATAATTACAACTTCCTTGGTAATTTTGGTCTTTTACCAGAAATTAAGGACAGCTTTTGGCCTAATCTTTTTTGAAGAAAACCTTTTACTTAATGGACTTATATGTTTTCAAGAAATAAACCCGCTTTGGTCCACATATATTGTTCTAATGCACTGCATCTCTCCCACTACCGATGCTCCCAGGAATATATATAGCATCTAGACTTCACATTTTCTTATATTAAAACCAATCTGATCAAAACAAGTGTCTATGTTTAAAGATAAACACTATAAATTCAGAAGTTAATTTGTTTACTGAATTGAAAATTGATGAGTAAAATAACCACCCAGATGTAGCAAATTTAGGGGTAATTTATGATGTTAAAAAAATATGGCAACAAAAAACATGCCCCAAACCCCCAGCTGACAAAAAAATAATATAATGCTGGCATACAAAATGGTTGACAATTTAGACTTGATTTAAGTGGACAGAAAAGTTATCAGATCCAGTGCTGCAACAGAAAAGAAAAACATATATGGGCAAAAGGAAAAAATATGTTTGCAATTTCATTTGATATAATGTTCTGGCTCATTTCTGTTCTGTTATTTTTGACCACAGGCCAACCAACAGTAACAGTGGGATCAACATGACTAACATAAAAAGGAATTAAATCTCAGGGGAAGATGTGTTTTTTTTTTAACACAAGAATGCTCTGAGATCAATTGCACAGCACCCAGCACAATGGGATCCTGGTCTACTCCAGAGCTCTGAGATACAATGAGAAAGCTAATAATGAACTTCTTATATAATGAATTCCACGCAAATAATTTGCAGATCTTCAGCGAAGTTAGCCTCATCATTCCAAATAGTAAATATTTTTACTGAAGAAGTATAGCAAGCACATGTTTTGCCTTGGGTGATGCTCTGAGGAAATCAGATATAAGAGTAGCCCACAGATGTGGCCCCAGATCTGTGCTTTGATCACTTGTTCCTACCTCTTTACATATACTGTATATAAATACTTACACACATGGATATGGGTGTGTATGTTATTCTCAAAGCTAAAGAAGTTTGAGGTTAAAAAAGATGCTCTGTTTTCTTGGATCCCCAAACTATTATTACAGACCTAAATTACACTTCAGTTTATTATAACTCTACTGTGCATTTCATTTTATGCTATTTCAAGTCTGCACCTTCTCAAACTCACCATTTGGTCAGAACTGTTTCCAACATGAAGGGAACGATTTGTCAAATCAAATCCTCCAAAGCTACAGGTTCTCTGCAAAAAAAACAAGAGAGATAATTTTATTACCATGATTAGCTCACTTAGAACATCTGTAATTTGGAGAACACCAATTAAAATACAAATGTCTGCAAAAATGGAAAGAAAGAAACAAATAAAGGGATGAGAGATTATAAATCAGGAAATCTGTTGTAAAGCAATGAGTCTCTCTTTTCCAGAGACAACTCCTTGGCCTAAGGTCTGCTGCTGTTGAGTCATCTACTGCCTACTCCTCTTTTTAAAAAGAAAAAAGACTTTTTGGTCTGAGGAAACTGTTGATCTTATGCATCAAGTTTTCCAAGGTGCTGGCAACTCCATCTCTTCCCTCCCATCTGCCTTCATAAATAAGTCCACAGCAGCACTGAAACAGAGAACCACCAATCTTCTAAATCTTTTAAAGCTTTAAATAACCTACCTTCTGAATAGTTGCATTTCCACTGAAACACAGGGAATCACTGGAAGCCTAGTAGGGTAAGCCCTTGGTAAGAGGAGGGAAAACCCAGCCCAGCTATCCATAAGCATTGTGTCCCCAGAGACTCAGCAAGCCCTGACTCCAGATTAGTCACTTCCAGCTTTTTCTTTGCAATCCAAGAGGTAACAAAACCTGACCAATGAACAACCAGCTGCACAGTACTCAAGTACCTGGCCTTGGCAGAAGTCTTATGGGGCAATGCAGGGAAAGGAAAGTATGGCCATTATAATTAACTTGTACAACTTCAGCTCTGGGCTCTGAGTGTGGTTTTGAAGACAGGCAGATGCCCACTCTAAGTATTCTTTTCAGAGCAGAGCTGAGATAAACAGGAGGCAGAAGATCAACACTTGTGAACTACAAGTTCTTAGGGCCTGAACTACCCAACAGAATAACTTCAAAGACATATTAAGAATCAATTAGATATTGATTAGGTATTGGCTCAGACCTAAAAAGGACTGTGAGTCAGTGAAAATCCACTACCTGAGAACTACCAGCCCGCTTTGTCTCTTAGGAAGAAGCAAGCTGTATAAACTGTGACACTAAATAAACAATTATACGAGTTCATTCTTTTAAAGTAAACACTCTTCCTGTTCACCACTTAAAGCATACATATTAATAGCTTCTAAAAGGTTTTATTTCTAGCTTCTTGCTGCTTACACCCAACAAACTTGGATGACAGTTTTTGTACACACTACAACTCTAGTGGAAGTCAAAGCCAGCTTTGTCTAGGCCCCACACACATTAAAGAAAATGCTGTGATGTAGAATTTTTCTAAGTGTTTTTTTTTTTTTTTTTTTACAGAAGGCAATGTGACTATGGCACAGGTTTTAAGAATTGTTTTTAGAAAGCATTTGAGACCAACCACAAGTAATAAGATCGGTTTATAAAGCACAGCATGTTTAGCTAGGAGTAATTTGGTCCTTCTGTGAAGAACCATTATAACCAATCCTACAGTGTATGGTAATTCCAGCAATGAAGAGAGGACATCTGGAACTGCTCTAAGCAAACCTGTCTGTCAAACTAGCCAGAGCTCCTCCTAAAGAAGTCTTCTTGAAAAACAAAACAACTGTTGGTTAAAAGCTTCTGAGTAAATGCACTTTATTAAGGATGCTTGTGGTTTCACTATGGACCTCCCCATACATTTAAAATTTAACTTCCACCTTCAGATTCCAGCAGGGCTCCTGGAAATCCTGTAGCAAACAAAAAGTCTGTGGATGAGGAGAGGGATATTCAATGGAATGGCCATGCAATCAAAAGTATTATTCTTCTGGGAGAAAAGAAAAACTGATGCCATTTCAAAATTTCATGCATGTCCAGGCCACTGAAACAAATATAAATGACAAAAATGAATGGCAAGGCAAGACAGAGTGACCAATTCCACTGAATACAGAGGCATTGCAATTTCTCTGAGGTTGCAGCAAACAAACATTAAGCATTTCTAGGAAGGAGCGGCATTAGTTGAAGCTTGTCAGCTATTTTCAGTTTCAGGAAGAAGTGCATTGAAAAAGTTAGTGGGCAGCAGGTCTCCAACATTTATGCCATTCAAACAAGGATGGAGAAGCAGCTGACTGAAGTTCCTCAACAACAACAAAACACTGCCCATTTATTTAACTGTATCTCTGTGATTAAGCAAAGGTCAGTGCAGGTAGTTTTAATAATGAAATTACTATGGTGAGACAAGACTAACTTATTAGAAGAACTGAAGAGTTTGTTTCTGTCATCTGTATTTACAAAGACATTACCAAGAGGGTATTTTTAATTAATATGAGTATGTTTTTGGTCTAAGATAACCTTATTAATCAACCCACAGATGGATGAGCAAGGTCCTATCACTATAATATCCTTACAGGAAAACAACATCTTCTGAGTACAATGTCTGTAGCAATAAACAGTACCCTGTGAGGGGCAGGGTAAGCAGTCAATGCAGAAGAAACAGTAAAGCTGCCAAGACTGAATGTTCAGGGTATTGAGTAGAAAAAAAAATCTGTATTTCACAGCCAAAGAGCAAAAAGAGAACCATGAAGGCCTGGTCACCTCCTAGGCTATTCAAGGGGACCACAGCTGTCACTCTTATACCTTTTATCAGAAGAAATTAAGCAGAGATCTCTCTCAAAAAAAAAAATCTGTTCTTTAAGAGGAAAAGCTGTTTCTACTGTATTGTTCAGTGGAATATCTTGGTTAATGTTACGGGTGCACTGCTGTTTCCATCCACCAAAGTAGGGAACATTGTCAACTAGACAACAGACTAGCTGGCTCAGCTTTGGAGATCTGGCACCAAAGGCAAGTTCCTAGGAAACTCAGAATCATGGTTAACGGAACTATCAAAACTGGGTCATATAATCAGGAAGCAGCTTTGGATCCCTCTGGAGTGTTCAAATAACTTAATTTCTCACTGTAAACACAATTTCCTCTTTTGGCCACCCCTTGTTCCCTTTCTGTAACACTCTGAGTGAAGGTGCCACCTTCATTCCATGCTAGAAAGAAGAAGCAGTAGTGACAATTCTGGTGGAGGTGAGGAGCAAGCAGGAGAGCAGTGACCACCTAATGCAAAACTCTCTTTCTTTCTGTGTGGGAGAATACTGATCGAGTGAGTGAAATGATGAGATGCAATCTGAGAAGGGAAGGGCCAATTTAAGGCAATGACAGTGAAAGAGAAATAGAGCACAGTTGAGTAACAATACTCTATTACTCTGAAAATCCCATTCATCACTTGGTACCCCTTGAAGAGAATACTGACTCCCAAAGCATCGCAAAGAATGTATTTATAGCATCTCAAACCTTCTGTGTTCATTGCTGATCTCTATTTCTGCACTAGATAAATTTAAAAAAGCAGAATTTTGTCATATTTGCTCATTTGCTCTCTCTTACTGAGTTATTCTGTACACACAGCAATGGCAGACCCAGCAAAAGTCTTCTCTGACAAGATTATATCAAGCTCTTCCCTTATACCTGCATTACAGTGCTTAAGAGTTTCTAACGGCAAAGAAAGCAGAAGCACTGAATTTTAGTTAAAAGCACAAAGCAGAAAGTGTTCACTGCAACCTCACAGAAATTGGAAGACCACCTTCATGGCAACTCTTTGACTCACAGACTTTTGGTGGATTCTCAAGAGAACCCTTTTAGTACAGCGGTCCACTGTGGCAGCCCACTTCCTCTTGGCCTCCTCATCCTCCTCCAGCAGGCATCTCCTCAGGTCCTGCTTGTCGGCCTTGCTCAGGGTCCTGTCAGTAACGGGACGCACCAGCTGTGAGAGGTTGAGGTGACTGTACAGGCTTCTCTCCACCACATAGGTAATATTGAACTCGCTGACAGAGGTGCGCCCTCGTAGCCTTCTGTTTGGGAAGCCACAACCTCCACCCCCTTTCGATTTGTGCCGCAGTAACTGTAGGTCGCAAGTTGTGGGGGATGCTCCTTTCCTAGCAGGGCGCTGACAAAGAAAAGCTCTGGAACAGGAATAGTTAGTATCCATTTTCTTCAATCGGATCTGCTTCCTTATACTCTGAATCTCCTCCAGGGACACCAGAAGATGGTGCTTGTGCCTGTTGCTGTCATAAAAGCAAATGCTTTCTGTACTTACCCCATGGCTCAACGAGCCGAGGCTCTTCTTCATTTCCCCATCTGTCAAGGAGCGGCAAACTTTCTGGGACTTCTCCTCTTCTGGGTAAGAGAAAAATGTCCCAAGTTTCTTGGGAGGCTTGATAAGGCCACGGCTATCTGTTTTGCTGAAGGTCTTCACCAGCTTCCGGTTAGCTCCCCACGTATCAAGGCTGCTGGATGAGGGAGAAGTAGTAAGTGAGTCCGAGTCGTCCTCTGGCTGCTTTTCACAGGAGCTGTCAAAGTAGAATTGCTTCTTGTGAACTCCAGAGTAAAGTGCTGATCTGTCATCCAGTATAGGAGAGTTGTCAAGTGAGTGCTCTTCCACACCTACAGGGGAAAAAGGCAGCACAACGCTTGTCATTGTTCATAATTCTCTAAGATGTGTTCCTGTAGAGCCTTACTGTATTTATTCAATGTATTAGCCACTTAAATTGGAAGATAACTATTTTTGATGTAAATTGCTCAGAAGTTATTTTTGAGTGGATAAACCTGAAGCAGTTCCTTCCATTCTTCTCACTTTGAGAAGTACGAATGAGATTAGCTCTCAATAGACAGAAGACAACATCCATGAGTAAGTAAACTCATCATTATTTTAAGTTTCTCTCAGCTGCAGCTAAGACCACAGATGTTCCCACTAACAACCCCTAAAAGCTGGAGCTGGGATCTGTTTCTCATGTTTTTCTTCTGATACTTGCATATGATACTCAGCTCTAGTGAGCTTACAATAGGTCAGAAGTACGCCCCAGTATTAAAACCCAAACAAGTATCTCTCAGGTCCAGTTTGCCAATACCTAGTGCTCCTTTGGATGCAGAAAGGAGTATTTTTTGCAGAAAGTTATGGAGTTTAACTCCAGGATGAAAAGTTTTGGGGTTTTGATGGGGGAAGAGGCACCAGTTTTAATCACACAGAATTTATTAAGCAGATGCAAAAACAAAGAAGTAGGTCAAACTGCAGATGTGCCAATTTCAACAGTGTCCTGGTAATGAAAGAAACACTTAGTTTTCACCAATTTTTTCCAGAAAATATTTCACAGGAATATTTTGCAACATAAGTACTGGACATGGGCAGATAGCCAGGTTTCGTTTTTGGAATGGAGAGAAGGGAATAAAGAACTTGAAACTGCAATTCCTTTTAACATTTATCATATAAGAAACTTTTCTCTGGTGTTTTCCTTTGAAAGATTTTAGATGCAATAACGAGGTAGGAGTAAAAAAAAAAAGTGCACATCCTCCTCTGTATCCATGACAAATTTCACAGCATTCATACCTATGTATCAGACACACACACATAAATATGACTGTATTTATTTCTTGCCAAAATAAATTTCTTAATGACCTAACTTTGCCTTCATCTTTGATTGCTTCCACAGTCTTACAGCAGAGCTAAATTTGAACTGTTACCAAAATACCTACAATTTACTAAATTGGCTCATTCAATAACAAAGGACACCTTTCACAATGACAGATTAGCAGCCCTGTATAAGATTCCTGCCTCATCTTCAGTTCACTGTGTTGGCAAAACACATTTGACATACATTTGTTGAAACCTAAGATGCTATTTTACTGTGATAAAGCTCATCATAACATTGAAGGGGATCACATCTGACATGCAATTTTCACTCTTGAGAAAATTATTGGGGTAGGTCTGTAGATTGGAGTCTTGTTTTGACACCACTTTCCCTGGACTGTCCAGTTTGCTCTTCTCTCCCTCTACATCTTAATATGAACAGAAAATAGATATCCTCCTGGGACTGAGTATGTACTGATAAACAATTTTATTCCACTAAGTAAATATGTTTTTAAACAGCTTGTAAAATATGCATTGTGTGTCAACACTGCAACAGATGTTATTTGGAGTGAGTTCATGACACAAAGCCATAATGACACAGATGTAGATGTGATGCATTTTTAATTGCTATATAAGAACGGTGCCCAGGAATTAGGAAGTTCCAGTTATTTGGCTCACTTAGAAACAGATTAAGACAAAATACATATGGATTCAGATATTGGCAAATTCTAGTGAGTATCAGCTTAGCCAAATGTACATTCATTCTGATAATTGAGTCAGTAATAGAAATATGGGAGAAGAATCTGAGACTAGTGTGATTTTCTTTAAAACCTACAGGAATAAATAAGGGAAATTTGGAAAAGCTGTTCTTTGTGAAGAAATTTTTGAATAGGATTATGCAGAATCTTTCTTCCAGGAAACTGCAGGTCAGTTTTCAAACTATACTAAAGGCTGTTGAACATTAATGAATTTATTTAAATTTTATTGATGTTACTCAATCAAATATTATAGCCAACACCCCAAAACCTAGTCACCTATAATTTCACATTACTTCACATTCATAACACAGATTCAAAGAACCACAGCAAACAGCTCTAAAACCAATCCGCTTAACTGCGGGTAACTTGGAAGGCAATCCCAAATCTGACTGCACTAATTTTTGTGATCTTGCACAGCCCTCTGACATATTCAATTGGGAATACAGATCTGTTTTATGAGAGATTGGGATGGACAACATTTATGAAGTACTTTTAATGTGCCATATGAAAATTTGAGTATCAAATTTCCTGAAAGAAAAGTCATAGATATCTACTGCTAAGGTAGACTTGGCAACTTAGGGGGACTTCCAATTATACAGAAATTATGCAGAATTAATCCATGTTGTTATTTAGCAATAATTGCTACTGCTATCGAGTTTTCCAAGAATGAATCTACTAAGAAACTCCAGAGTGATAGATAAAGTACAAACTCAGATTATAGATAATTTAATCAGAGGAGCCTAGTGCTAGAGAAGACAGATAACAGATGGAAAAAGATGGAAGGAGAAAAAGCTTTTTTTTATTAATACAGTTCCTAGTTCAGTGCTTTTTCTGCAGGGGTTAGTGGTGGAAAACCTCAGTAGAAATAAAAACCCTGGAAGCAGTGGCACACTTAAGTGAAAGACTGAGGGAAAAAGGAAATAAGGAGGTAAAGCACTGTAAGAGAGGATAGGGAATGAAGACAAATACTCAATACGCTGAAGAGAAAGTCTGGTTCAACTGCAGGAAGGCATCTGCATGCCCAGTAGCCCCTGAGCTGCCTGCTCCTGCGTCTGCTCCCATCCCTGGAGCCTCTCCTGATTGTTCCCTGCAGCTTTTCCTAGACTCCTGGAGAGAGAGGAGGAGGTAGGACAGGCTTCTCTGAGGGCCATCTTTCCCCAGAGCAGTGGAAAAATAGTCCTATTTTGTTTGTCCCGTCTCAAAATCCACATTTTTGTTTCCAAGGTATCCCAGCTTTATGCTCACTATATGAGGTGATAAAACCTTTCCAGAAAGAGACATCTGCCCATTCCAGAGCTCTAGACTGGTTGTGCCTTTCACGCCAGCCAGTAACACCATCCATAATGTAGGAGAGGCAGCCTAGATCACAGATCTGCCAGCAGTTTCCTGCCACATACGCAAGATGCACGTGTTCTCCTTAAATGCACTAGGAAGAATCACAGTTCTGCTCAGCTCACTGCAGAGCTGAGGGGAATTGGCATACGCTGCCGGGAAGGCCACCAACATAGAGAGGTGCCCACAATTCCAGTGAGGACTCAAGCATAGCTGCAGAGAGGCTCCTGAGTATCAGGCTCCATTAATCTGAGTGCTCACACATGCATACAGGTCATCCGGAGTTAATTCTGCAGCATGGTGTTCCCAGGGCCTGAACTTTACTTCTCTTTCCCCACCCTCCTCCTCCCTTCTCTCCCCCTCTCTGTAGGGAGCAGGGCTCATTCAGAAGCCAAATTGCAGACAGGATTCCCCAAAAGAGAAGTCATGAGGCAGCCTCTATCCCACAAGAATGTCTGATAGAGGTTCTGTATTTTTGCCACAGGGTGATGCCACGTGGTTCAACTGCACCACCAGCCAGCTGCTACCCTCCCAAAACGAGCAGGGGAGCTTCACCTGTGTGCCACCCAGGGCCTGGGAGGAGGAAGCAATGTGGTAATGGCTCCACTTACCTCCTTGCTGAGCTTGTGGGGCAGCTGGCTGGGATTGCTCCCAGACTCGTTCCCTCCCCAGCATGAGGCATAAAACATAAGCCAATTTCTAATCTCTTAATGAGGGGCTCTCCAGCGCTGCTCTGAGAATACCAGATCAGCAGCAACCACATTCTCGGCTGTCAGTTTCCTCCTTCTAAAGCCTAAACATTCAATAACTTAAGGCATGCACAATAGACAAGGCAGCTGTTCCTACTACCATCCTTTAGGAGTACTCCACCCCTCCCTCCCCCAAGCCTCCAGTTTCTGTCCCCTCTCAACAAAAACATGTATTCACACAGTTTTAACCACATTGCTTTTTACCTTCTGTGCTGGGTTTTTTCATCTCTTCAACTCTTATGAGTTTCTTCCTCACTCTGCGAGTAGAATTCACCAGCTTGTGCAACCTCTTAAACTTCACCGACTCCTCTGTTTCATCATCGGATTGTTCTCTTGACTGGCAAAGAAACAAAGGGAATATTAATAAAGCAGTAGTTCCACAGCTTGCTCCTTCAAGTTAAGTTAACCCAGCTCATCTGCTGCATTGTGTCAATGCAGCTTTGTAACGGGTGTTATATTTTCAGCTCGGGTCAGACAGAAACTGAGGGTTTTCTTGTTTTCTTTTTTTTTTTCCTTTTTCTGAAAGCATGACATACCATTTTGATTTCTAAATCTGTGCAACGTAAGATCCTAGGCACTGAAATGCATTCCTGCCCTTGTCTTTCTTCACATGCATTGTGTAATAACTACTTCCACGTCCTCTTCCAGTATGTTTCAGGCAGGGCTCTTTTCCAGGGTTCTTCTTACCATACCAGTTATGCTCCCGTGGTTTAGTCAGTCCCTGGTCTGTCTGGCATCTCAGAACTTGCTGTTTAAACCTGGTTATAAACAGCGTTTCCAAACTGAAGCTCTGTCACTGACGACTTCTCTTTTTTTCCCCCCAGTCTTCCCAGAAAATCAAAAACAGCAGCACAAGAAAGGGATGGGAAGAAAAGGAAGGAGGAGACCTCATCTGCCTCACTCACGGACTGCCACAGCTACAAAATATTCCCTTCCTCCTCCCTGCTCCTTACACTCCTCCTGAAGGCTCTCGAGGCTGGAATTAAGATGGACAGAGCATTCCTCCAGCACTGACCAAGGGAAAACTCTGACCTTTTCAGATATACAGTGCAGTCCATATTCCCCAGCATCCCGTTTCGTTTTGCATCTGATCCAGTATGCTCAGTTCCAGCTGTTTTCCCTCAAGTATCAAACATTACAGAGACAAAAAAAAATTCCCTTCTCTCCAGCAGCAGTGACACAACAAGCTGAAACAATCCATTCCTTGTGAACGAGAAGACAACTTCGATTTTCGAGCCAGATCCAATGTTCAACGTGCTACTTCCTCTGTTTTAATCAGTTCAGAATGTGGAAGGCGGTGGGGGGAAGGGCAGGGAAGGGGAGAGGAGAGGAGGCCAGCAGGGCTCTCGGGCTTGGCCAGGACAGCCCTGGCATCCTGCGCTGCTGCACATTCCTGCGCGCAGCACAGGCTCCAGCTGGAGTGCGGTATGGATCGTATACCTTACTTTGTTTGCACTCATAGTCCCAGCCAATTCACAGCATTCCTACTGGTCAGCTCTAAAAACCCTCATGCAACTTCCTGTCAGTGCAGCTATCTGGGTTTCCACAGTGTGCTCATCCTTTTTTATCCTTCTCCTTAATTAAACTTTTAAAAATAAAGATCCCCAAGAGATGCAAGCCAAGTAAAAACAAACAAACAAAAAAAACCCATCCCCTTCTCTTCCCAGAAAAAATTCTGTCTGCTTATCTAGAGGATGAATAAGAAAGGCTGAACATAAAAATGCCTTCTATTTTCTAGCGCGCTTAAATACTAAGATGAGTGAGGTACTAAAGGCAGATGCCATGGGGCAGGACACCAATTAGCAGCTTCATTGCAAAGCTTCCAAAGGCACACACAGTGCCTGACAGAGCCAGGGCAGCTCTGAAAGCCTACCTCCCAGGCATGCAGCTCACAAGGACTCCAGAACCACACCAGGGCAAACTTCAACAAATTTCTGCAAGGGTACTGTCCATTACCAGTTTCCCACAAATTTTGCATTACTCCAAAATAAGGAGGAATACCAAACTAACCACATATGGCAGTAGGAATTGTCCTTCTATCATCCAAGAATTGCACAAATGCGTTTACTGTGGTTACAGACAGGCTAGGTAATTAATAAACTTCCTTTGGGAAAAATAGGACTGTAAAGAGTGCCAGGGTTGTTTACATCAAGTAAATTAAGCAACAACATGAGAATTAATTCAGAGATTATGCCTAGGACAACTTAGTGATATGTCAAACAAGACAGACACATGTAGATAAGATGATGAATGGATTATTGACTGTAATCAAGAAGTTCAGTCAAGATTTCTTGGGCCATTAAGTGCCTGCTGGCAAGAAACCATCATGCATATTTTGCACTCAGATTCATTTCTTTTAAATGCAATTTCTCTAGGGGATTGCTTTCCATCATACTTTTTGTACACCCTCAGTTTGCAAGACTACTGTTTTTGAAACCATGAGCTCTGTAAGACTAAGAGAACAGCTCATACCTGGTCCCTCCACTCAGGATTTTATTGAAGAATAAACAGCTAGTCCTACGTTGCACCACTGATATCTGACAAGGAAATGTGCCACCTCAGGGTTATGAAGACTAAACAACATCAGCAACAACAACAACGAAGAAAGAGCTTTTACAATGTCTGACATTTGCATTCACAAGTACCACATTAAAAACAAGTGTCAAAATAGCCTCAGCGCAAGGTACTGAAATCAAACCCAAGAGGGTGGTACAGAGGGTGCTTAGCAGACTTCAAAATAAATAAAGTCCAATCACAATTAAGTGCCAGCTGCTTTTCCCCAATGCTTTAGGACTCCTAGTACCCTTTTGAGCTGGGGTCCTCCACAAGCAGCGACAGATCCTTTCTATCGCCAGGGCTTTGCAGGTAGGCGAGAACAGGTCATGCTTTATGGATAGATGAAAGACAAAAACAGCCTCCCTCCAATAAGTCTATCATACCAGGTAGCATGTGACAGAGAAATCCTCCATAGCGAAAAAGGATGGACAATCAGTTTATGCAAAAAGGTCTAAAAATTGTGACTACACTAGTAGCGCTGCTCAGGAAACATTATTGTCAAATAATGCTGGTTCCTTGAAAATAAATGCATTTTCAGAAAGGGTTACTCTTCATTTGCTTCCTGTTTTTGAATCAACTTTTTAAGAAAGGCCTTGGAATTATCAAAAGTTTCCACTTTGGCACATGGGAAACAGAGCTTAATTTTCCAGCTCAAGCAATGCTTTCTTTTACAGCTAATACTAAACAGAAAACAGAAATGTAAAGCATTCAGGCCATAACAGACATATTTGGAAATCATTGAACTTCCATGCTTTGACTTCCTCAGCCCACTCTACCCTCCCCTCTTTCATGGTGACCGAATTGCTTTTTTTGGTAGCTGTCTCTGACTTCAGATGGGAAAATTACCCCAGTGTCCCCAAAGCATGGCGGGCTGGGCAAACAGCTTCGTGGACAGCTCTAGCAGTGAGGCCTTGGCACCGGGCTTGATGTAGTCAGCTGCCAGCCCCCTCTTGCTCTCTTCCCTCTTCACAGGCACTCCAGCGTGCTGCAGCACTGCAGAAGGGGGGATGTGGTCTTTTATAGAGCGGACGAGTCTGCAAGATGCTCAGCCAGAGGCTCTCTAGCAGGAAGGAGGAATCCATGCTGCACCCTGACCACCAATGCCTCCTGGCCCCTGGCACACAGCTCTTCCAGCAGGCCAAGCCTCGGTGTCCTTAACATGCAGATAAAACAGCCAGAGCCCCTCCAGCTCCCTGTACCCCTGTGCACAGCCAAGGCAGGCCTCTCCCTGTGCCCTCAAGGGGACAACAAACAGATTTGCAGTACTGCAAATAGGAACAACTTAACTTCCATCTCCTCCGCTCCAAATTTTTCCATCCGAAAGCCCATATGGCTCAACTTTTAATTACTTTGGCTAATGCTGTATGTAGTAATTCTGTGGTGAATGCTTAAGTGTTTCATTTCTGGTTTCCAGGGCAACATTACATCAGATTGCAGACAGCTGGCTCCACAGCTCTAAACCATAGCAAATTGGCCAAAGCCGATGCATAAAACTCGCGCTGGTTGAAAGCGAGCGCGGGGCTCGGCCGGGCTGCCGGGGACCCGGCGCAGCCTGCGAGGCCCCTTGGCGGGGCTGGCCGGGCGGAGCCGCCCTTCCCCACACGCCTTGGAGCAAGTGCATCCCGCATCTGCAATGCTCTCACGGTGCGGAAACCCGCCAGCTCCGAGAGCTTGGCTGCACAAACGCGCAAAGGGCTGCAGGGAAACAGGGAATATATTAACAGCATCTGGAAATACCAAGAACTGCATGCAGAGGACTGCAGCCACCACGTACCACACGGATGGAAAACTAGAGAGGCCAAGTCCAATACCCACTGCCCAGCTTTTTGCTGAAAACAAATGTGGTCACGAACAATGAAGATGCTCTCAAATCCAGAAGAAATAAATCCCTTCTGCCGCCTCTCTCCTCCCTTTACCTTGGAAAACTTCCTACTTGTGCACCTCCAAAAGCAACACTTTTCATCACCTTGTATGTAAGATCAAAGTAAGGAGCTTTACGTTCAAGAACAAATAGGAAATCAGCACACGTACTCTGACATTCTAGGAGCTCTCTACAGTTCTGCTCCTGGCACCCTTCTTGCTTTCCCTTCTGCTTTTCTCACGCAGGCTCTTTGCTGCTGCTTGCTTAGGAGGCAGGGCACACGCCTTGCTCTGCTGCTCTCTAACATCCAGCCCATTTCACACGCCACAGAAGCAACAATCTTAACCTCCCTCTTTGAGTTAGTGCTTCACAGAAAGAGAGGGAGTGAGAGAACTAGCATTTATTAGTGTACTTGGTATTAAATAGGCAAAATGTAAAACAGAAGTAAGTAGCTGGCTTTTGACGGGACTATGTTTGGAAACACTTCAGGGTTATAGCAGCAGCCCTTAAAAAAACAGGCAAAGCTTAGAAGTCATATCCCAATAAAAATGTGTAAGAAACACTAGGACAACATCGAGTTAAAGCTATCATAACTGATTAATTTGCTTCAGCTTCAGAAAAACCCCAAAAATATATGACTTTTACATGAGCCGTGTGAAGCCATTTAGAGAGATGTTAAAATTTTACAGTTTGCTTTATGCCCAGTAATAGTTCAGCCCCAAACTGAAATCTCTAGGAAACCTTCTGCCTAAGAAAAAGCAAAATCTCCTAAGCTTAAGCTGCAATTCTTTTTTGCTATCAGACAATTCTTGTTCAGCAAAGTGGGGCAAAAAAACCACATTTAGATTCACAGATACATCACATCCCCCAGCCCTGGCTAGCTCACCTCAGAACTACAGGCTCTATAGTAAAAGCAAAGA